CTCGGCCTCCCCATTGGCCCGCCTGGCTCATGGGTTGCAGGGCAACCGGGGGCGGTTTTCACAGCCGGGAGTGCGGGGCCTCGGATCGCAGCTCCCCCGGACTGGCAGATCCCGAGTGGGGCTGGCCACCAGCTCCTGCGTCCCTGGTCTGCTTCCCTCTCCGCACGCAGGCAGCAGACTCACGCGACACAGCTGTTATCAAGAAATGTTTTTATTTTTCTTGCAGTAGCTTTGTTAATTGCACAAAATCATGTTTTGTTTTTGCCATTGAAACATTATCACACAGTCCTATTCTGAAAGACAAATGTTCATTAAAAACAAAGCAAAAATAAAAATTCACAACCTTAATTACCTAGAAGATTTGTCACTTAAAGGTTTAAAGGAATAAAACGGGGAGGGGCTTTCTTACAAGCTTTTTCACAAGTGTCACATTTTCTCCTTAAAAGGGAAGGATTTCAAAACAAAGGTGAAATAGCTTAAACAGAAATATTCATAAAAAGAAACTTTACAGAATTGTCAACAATATTAAGACAACATTGACTAACCGGGTTCATTACAGCATCTTCCCCACCCCACCCCACCCCCACGGTCCGGCAGGACTACCGGCTTTGTGTTCAGACAGAAAGAGTTCAAAATCCCAGTAAAATAACTGTGCCAAAAATCCGACAGGCATCTCCCTGCCTCCCCCCAGCTTTTCCTAGATCTTCTAACCTAGGTTCCAAGCAGTGAGAAAGGCCGAGGTTGTGGGGGGAGCCCCACACCATGTGGTTACTTTATATATATAATATCTCCCTATAAACGCTGACATTCTGCAAATCGTGACTTTGGAAAACCCAACCTGTGCAGAGGAAGAAACTGACATCCTTTAGGTAACTTCTCCTTGTTCTCATAAAACATTCCCAACCTCTTCTGGTCCCCTGTCCAAGGAGAAATGCCAGGGTCTCAAGGATGCCCAGGTCCACTCTCCTCCATCCCAACAGACCCCGGGCCTGAAGACCGTGATGCTGGCTCCAGTGAAGACACTCATTCCGTATCAAGAGCTGAGCCTAAGAAATGCTGTCATTAGTCAGGCTCGGTCTGGGCTAGAAAACAGACAGACTGACAGACAGGAATACTGTCTCCATGGGAGGAACAGGGGTGGGAGGCAGGGCATGCAGGGGACCGGTGCAGGTGCAGGCTGCTGTGAGGGGACCGAGGTCAGAGTGGCTCTTCAGAACCGCTGAAGGGTCTGTGGCATAACGGAAACAGGAAGGCGCCCAACTCCCCCTCACTCTTCACTCCTCACTGGTGGCCCTGGGGATCCCCTTCCCAAGGGCTGGAATGCAATCCAAATGCTACAACAGCCTGGTGAGGAACAAGCTCTCACGGCACGAAGCATGGCCCTGGGCCCCCATCGAGGGGGCTCTGCAGCGAGGTGGCACTGGGTGGGTTCTGAGGACATCAACGGGAGCCCATCTTGTGCTCGACCGCCAGCAGCTGCTCACTGCTCCCCGGAGCCAGAGCCCATCTTGGCAAGGCTCGGCCAGTCCCTCGAAGGCGTTTATGGAGCGCTGGTTGCATATCGGTAGCTTAGACATGAAGAACCTCCTCAATGAGTCACCTGAGGTTGGAGGGCCCTGGGGACCCCCATTCTGGAGCCTGCTGGGGGCTCATCCTGGCCCAGAGCCTCTCCCTGCAGGGGATCCAGTGGGGAGTGGGGACGTGGATGTGACGACAGCCTCTTCACTCTGGGGGAAGCTGTGGGAAGGCTTCCGACTCTCACGGCTCATTCTAGTTCCACGACTAGAAGGGGTATGAGATAAGACAAGCTTGGAAGAAAAAAAACCAGGCAGCAGTTTCTGGGTAGCTTCTATCCTGGGTGAGACCAGTGCACGTGTGCGCATGTGTGCGCAGACACACAGCCGCCTAGCCTGGGGCCAGTGCTCAGCTCCAGAGATTTCCTACAAGCCAATCCTGCCAAATCCCCTCCCCCGGGGCTCAGGGCAGGGTGGTGCTGTGTGCTGTACTGACGGCAAGTCTCAGAGTCTGTATAAAAGGAGACGAAGACAGGTGGACTGGTCCAGAGTTACGTCCCAGGACCCTGACCCCATGAGAGGAAGAAGGGGTCAGAGGGAAGATCAGAGGGGCAGGGGTCGTGTCAACGGCTTAGTGTATGTAGGCTCGGTACACGGCAGACATGTCATTGTCAGACTGGTCCAGTGCCTTGGCTCTTTTGTACACCTGGAGAAAAAGACACAGAGTCAGTCTCTGGCCATCGAGGTGACTTAAAGACCCAGATCTACCCCTGAGGATGTTCTGGATGTGGCTGAGCAGGCAGGTCCCAGAGTGGAGGCTGCCTGGTGTGAATCCTGTCTTGATCTTGGACAAATCACCTGTTTCTTCTCTAGGCCTTGGTCACTGCTTCTTGACCTGAGAAGGTGACAGGTGACCTGGCCTGCACTAGGTCAGTGAGGACTCAGACACACTAAAGGAGGTAAAGCAGCCAGGACTGTGGGCAGTTACAACGTCCTTCCTGAGGACGTCCCTCCGAGGACTCCTGTTACCCTCTGGGCTGCTGGCTTTGCTATTCCCTCTGCGAGGAACCCTTCCTCCAGCACGGCTGGCCCCTTCCCAGTCAGCTCCAAGGCCCTCCCTGATGACCCCCAAAGCAGCAGCGGTACTCACCACCTCACCCTCAGCACCTACCTCTCTACTGTCTCCTTCGATTCCTATTTTCCAGACTTGGAACTTCTATACTTGTTTTTTTTTTTTTTTTTGGAGAGATTCTTGCTATAGGGCGCGTGCGCTCGCCAGACAGACAGAGAGAGACATAGAGACAGAAAGCGAGAAATCACCCCCCAGGGGGGATGGTCACGCCGCAATCCCTTCTCCTCCATTCTCCTCTCGGGATCTTGGGCACGCACGTACACGCGCCCGGCGTGAGTTTTAAGCCACCGGGTCCGGGAC